CCCCAAAACCCCAAAACCCCAAAACCCCTGGAGTTGATTTTGAAGTTGAACAAATTTTGAGGATATTGACTGAGAAATGAGTTTTTTCACTATTACGGGTTCTGAAGAGAAGAGTAAAAAGAAATGAAGCACTAAGCAAGTGCAGGATAAGCAGAGAGATCAGGATAGAGTGCTTCAAAGACCAAGATCCTTTTTCTCTGGATCTCAAAGAGGGATTCTAAAGTCATCGACTAATGCTTATTATAACTCATCGCCAGTAAAGACTTCCAAAAAGAGCTCAGCAGGAGCCTTTAGACTCCTTGATAGCGGTGACGCAAAAGGAATTAAGAATGATTCATTCAGTTTCTTTGGAAGCCTTAGCCAGAGGCGAAGAAAGATCACAAAATCTATTAAAGATAAGCTAACTAATTCAGCAGAGAAGGAAAATAGACTTGAAATAGGGCATTATGAAAAAATTCGCCAGAGTGCGATTGAAGATAGCATAAATAATAAGCTTTTTGAAAATTCGCTTGATAATTACGAAAGTCTAAATGAGTGTAATGGCAACTCTGAAAGCAACCAAGAATACGAAGAAGGATGCTACCAAGAGTATTCAGAGGGCACCCTTGGTTCCTATAGTGGAGCCTCCAAAGACCAAGCTAAAGAAGTCAGGCAGAACTCTATTCCAGAAAATATTTAACAGACCACTTGAGACAGAGCCGACTTCTGATCAACCAGAAAACTCAGAAGAAGAGCGTCAGATGAAAGAGGCTCTGCAAAACATTTCAGTCATGAAAAAGGAAAAGCAAAGAGCACAAGAAATCAAAGAGAAATTCAAAGCTGCTAAGGATCGTAAGAAGAAACAGGAAGAAGCAAAGCTTACCCTGAAGCAGCAGGATGAAGCTGATAAGAAAGCCCAAAAAGATCTCCAGGATAAGAGAGATAAGCTAATTTATGGTAGGACTGGTAAAGCTACCTCATCTATGACTTTCCCCAAGGTTGAGGCTTTACTTAACCCGACCTTAGAAAGTCTGGGAAAGGGTAAATCTAGCAGCCAAGAAGGTAATTCTAAAGCAGAAGAAGGGACTAAAATGAATAATTATAACAGTGAACAGCCTGAGAATCCAAAAGTTGTAAACAAGATCATTAGCACTCAAGGCTTTGAAAAGAAAATGACTAAGGTCATGTTCAAAAAGTCAGTCTCTCCTGATGAATTTCTGAAGAAGATTACATCTACACAAATCTTCAAATATGGGCAGCAAGAAAATCTCGATGAGTTCTCCATCTTACCAGAATCCTTCAAGGATTATCAGGATTATCATAAAAATTGGATGCCTCTGTTTGAATATGAATCATATTGCCAGCTGACTAATCTTAGGAAAGAAGGGTCTAAATGTAAAGTTGCCAGTTATGGGTGGCTAGCGAAACTAACTTTCACCCATGCTGACAAGTTTATCACTTTCAGAATGGACAAACCCATAAATGACCAGTACCATTTTGATGCAAGAAATCATCAATGATTCATAAAATCAGAGCCTGACGGGAACAGAGGTGATCAAATAACAGGAAGATGTAGACTACATTGGGAACAAATAGCAGATTCTCTCAGAGAAAACGACCTAGTCTTGTTCTCAAAATACAAACTGACAGGAGTATATGATCTATTTGACACTTCCACAGATGAGAAAGGTAGAAGATTACTCCAGACAGTTCTACCAAAATACGGAACCTTCCTTGCAATGGTGGTTAGAAGGCGAAAATTAAAAGAAACTTTTGTGACCATGAAAACTGATAGGCTGTACAAAGAAGACTTGGTAAAAATCATTTGTCCTGAGAAGAACTCGATGCCTTTATTCTACTGTTATTTCCTGACCAGCTTGTCCACGATCCTAAGAGAATATAAAGCTTTACATGCCCTAGAGCATAGCTCTTATCTCAAAATGGTTCTTGACCCAGCAAGAGTTCTTTCTGAGAGAGAAATTATGAAAGAAGAGTCTGACCAGAACAACAAAGAAATGGAATTATTCTTGCACAAGAACGGAGAATATTTTAACGGGTCTCAGTTAGCTGCCCTCAAAGAAGTAGCTTCCATGCGTAAAAGAGATGTCCTACTGATTCAAGGACCGGTAAGTTCTTTATAACTAATATTTTTAGCCTGGAACAGGTAAAACACAGACTGTTCATGGAATCCTTAGTATGATTCTTGGCAAGAAGAAGGAATGAGAAAACAAGATCCTTGTGTGAGCCCCCTCAAACGCAGCTGTTGATGAAATCGTCCTCAGATGTGTCAACAAAGGATTGATCAGCCATTCAGGCAAGAAGAGAAAATGCAGCATTGTAAGAATTGGTGTATTAGACTATAATCCTCCTGAGAAAGTCAGACAATACTCACTTGATGAGCTAGTCAAGCTGAAGATGAAGCAATCTTCTTATAAAGTAACTGCTCAGATGGAAGATAAGCTCAAATCCAAAATTTCTACATTAGGCGCTTGCATCACTCGATTTGAAAAAGGTCAGAGACTTGACACTCCATACGAAGATTTCAAGAAACAAGAGAAAGAGTGTATGAAGAGATTGTACAAAATCATGTCTGCAAGTATGAAAGAAGAATTTGAACAAACAAATCTGTATCAAAGACGGCTACAAATCCTGGCTAACATGAAACTTAAGAGTGAACAAGATATGAAAGAACTGAAGAATAAAAACAGTTCAGAAACTAGTAGGAGGATTAACAGTGAGAAAGAAATCCTTACTGAAGTCAAAATAATCTGTACTACACTGTCTATGTCTGGGATAGATAAGATAGAAAAGATGGACTTTTGTTTTTCTCATTTGATCATAGATGAAGCATGCCAATGTACAGAGATATCTGCTCTGATTCCACTAATCCATCGGCCAGAGAAGATTATATTTGTAGGTGATCAGAATCAGCTTCCAGCAACATGCTTTGCTCCAAATGCCTTGACTACGGGGTTCAATAAATCATTGTATGAGAGGCTCTTAAACCAAGGTGCGAAGCAAATCATGCTTTCGGTGCAGTACAGAATGCATCCTGAAATCAGATCATTTCCCTCAGACCAATTCTACGATTCAAGGTAAGCTATTTCTTAACTAATCTATAGAATAACCGATGGAGAGAACGTCATCCTCAGAAAGACAGGAAGGATGGGAAAATTCGCGAATAGACTTATGTTCTATGACCTCTGTTATTCTCAAGAAGGAGGGCTTCTTTCAGATACATCAGAGAGTATGTCCAAGTCTAAAAGTAACAGAGATGAGGCCGATTTCATAGTTAAATTAATAGCAGAAGTTATTCTTATCCTCGGAAGAGAAAGCCCTAACTCTGGAATTGATAAAATCATTGATAAGATAGGCATCATAACTCCCTACAAAAAGCAGTCTTGGATCATTAAAGATGCTTTGAGAGCTGACTTGCACAAAATCCTTAAACTTGGTGAACATGAAGTTAACAGTGAAAAGATCATTGAAGTTAATACAGTAGATTCCTTCCAGGGAAGAGAGAAAGAAATTATCATAATTTCCTGTGTCCGTTCTACTGGAGGCAACGGGACAATAGGATTTCTGAATGACTTCAGAAGGATGAATGTTGCTATAACTAGGGCCAAGAGTTATCTTTGGATCGTAGGAAATGCTGAAACCCTCAAAATGAACCATAATTGGAAAGCCCTAGTCGAACATTGACAAGACAAAGGAAGATTTAAAGGATACATGAGTAAATCAGAAGTCCAAAGAGATGAGAAGATCCTTTCAAAATCTCCAGAACAGTATGCTAAAGAAAGGAAAGAAGAGCTCAAGAGAATATCAGAATTAGCCCCTACTCAATCTCTACCCTCTTCAGACCAAATTCCTTTACCAAAGCCCAAAGATGGTAGCGAATGTGGCTCTAAAAGGTCAAAATCTCCTTCACAAGACGAGAAAGAAGAATCTGCTGATAAATCATCACCTCATCCTCAGAAGAAAAGAGATATCAAGCATGCTTCAAAACAGGAATAATTCATAAATTTATTAAATTTTCAATTTATGTACTTTTTGAAGGGGTTTTGGGGTTTTGGGGTTTTGGGGTTTTGGGG